GATTTTGTGTTTTTTTTTCAAGTCAAAATTTAAAGAAAGTTATGCAAAGACACAATTACATAACCGATAATTTATTTTAAATGAATAATCCAGTCACTTTCCATTAATTTAATTTATATAAAAAAGAGATCCCTTCTACTATCCAGTGGGGCATTTATGTGTGTTAACCTGGCAAAAAAAAAGTAGGCTGTGTTATATTTATATATTTAAAATGCATAAGTCATATATTATTTATTTATGAAAAAAAGGGTGGGGGGCATGTTGTCCCTTTCTATTATTGACATTAAAATAATGTATTGTTTTATTTCGTCATTTGTTAAAGAATAGATTCAACACTTTCCACTGATGGCATTTTTATTTACAAAAATCAAGAACAAAGATTTATTAATGTATTTATTAATGGAATGGTAGCAGATAAAGTGCGAAAATTTAGAGTTTTTTGTTTTTTTAAAAAAAACAAGCATATTTCTTCTAAGCTTTATTCCACGTCACTCCCACCCCCCCCCCTCCAAGTGCCTCTCCACAAAAACATTTTTAAATTGATACACTTAGTTCTTGGAGAGATGAAGTGGGCTTTTGTGGGAGATTGTAGGGTTTTGGTTAATTAATATCACTTTTTATTACAAAATTAAAAGCATATTTCTAATGTAGGCTATATTAAATGTTTCTTAAAATAAAAGAAACTAGTGATGGAATACTATTCGATACATGCCAACCTGAGGGGTGAAAAAACTGTTAAAAAGATAATATTTTAAAAAAAAGAAGCTGCATGAAAAACTGTAGTGAAGAAAAAAAATCGAAAGAAGTATAGTTTAGAACTTTTTCATCATTTTTATCAATGTTTTGAATGCATGAAAAAAAATAATAGTTTACTCTTCGCCAATGCGCGCACATTTAAGCATATTCAAATCAGATGAAATCATTTATAATAGTAGGCCTACATTATTAGCGGATACGAATTTTATTAAAATGAACAGACGATGAATGATAATTAAATAAGACATTGACATACTTATTCTGCTAATTATGCTAGACTGTAATGATATAGATTCCTGTATTAAAATTACCAAAGTAAACCAAAGTTTTCCCATATTGACAAAGTTGTTGAGCTGATAACCTTATTTTTATACCTTATCAGTATCAGAGGTATTATGAATAAGCCAATTAGAAGGAATAATCACCCACGCTAGCTAATGAATGATCATTGGTTTGATTGTAATATTAAATACATTTAATTACTTAATATAAATTAACATAACACTTCCTAACACTGCAGTTTTATTGTTTTTTTTAAGAATTACACAAAAAGTATTGTAATTATTATTACAGTACCATACAATGTTCCCTCTAAGGTTTGTTGGTTCGTGTGCAAAATCATACAGTTGTGTGCAAAGTTTTACAGCATCAATTTTTTTTGTGTGCAAAATTTTACAGCTCACAAACACAAACACACTTTGACATGGAAATTTGCTGTGCCGATACTCAAAACTGCTGCATGGCTTCTGTGAGATAGCTGAGCGGCCGCGCAGCTTAAAGGGAACATTGGTACCATACTGTCTAGTATTAACAAATGCTATCAATGAAACTGCGCTGTTTCTAAATGTAGATGGCCTACTGATCCACAACTTGGTCATTTTGAAATGGAAAAAAAGTCTTAAAGCTTCTAGTTGTCCAAAGTTGAATTTATTGCACCGCCTGCTTGGAAAGTGTGTCTTGTGCAAACATATTTATAGGGGAAAACGTTACAAAAGCCTGTACATTTCGGAAAAGGTATAAAAACTTAAGGCTACATTTCGTAAAAGGTATAAAAACTTTACATTTCGGAAAAGGGATACAAATTGTACAAAGTATGGACAAACAGTATGAATGGGAATGTATGATGTTGGTCTGTTATTTTTTAACATTCATAGAGGGTATACAATTCATTTTATCTCCACCACCAGACTTATCATTGTCGTGATCAAGGTCAAAACATTGCTTAGAGAAACAAGGTTTGCACGGGATAACCCAGAGCCTTCCTCTGGACCTGGAGAAACAAAAAAAATTACTGAAAATATATTTGAAGAATACTGTTCAATATTAAACTTTTTGTCAAGATCAATACCCGGAAAATTTCAATAAGTTGCATCAAATCATTTTCAATTATTTACAAAAAGCATATTTTAAAAAAATCACTAGAAATTAATTTTTTTAATGAAAAAAAATTCACAAGACTGAATGGACTTTTAAACTTAGTATTAACATTTTTTTAAAAAATTACTAAAAAAAGCGGAACTTAAGAAATTTCATAGGGATACAATAATAAATGGAGATGGAATTCCAATCTCAAACTATGTGTCCAAAGATAAATCTGGGACTAATAAGATATATTTGTATGAATATTCTTCTTATGTTCCCTTTAGCCAGGGAGGCATCACGGGGAGGTTAGGTTGTCAGTCAGACACAATGTGCCAGGCCTGTCATGTTGTGGACTTGCAGGGTGTTCTTCACACAGGTGCTTCACCACAATTGTGGTCTTCGCCTGGCCCTGAAACCAGAGCACCTGCTGTTGTAAGCTTGCAATACATGTTGAATGACAGGTATTCTGGCCAAATTGCTTCAGGTTAGCCACAAATTATTACCATTATTTAATATCTTATGGGTGGTGATCTTTGTTTACATGTCATTAAACAAAAAAGGCATAATCTCAAACCAAAAAATCCTAACAGTAAAAGAAGTTTTGATTTCTTAATCTAGTTTGAAATGCAAAATATTTTTTTTTAATGGTAAGAAAGTTAGTGATAGCTTTTGACTAGTATTGGATCAGTATCCCAGTATAAACATTACCTTGTGTTGTGTCATATCCAACGACGATAGTAAGTGTATTGGTGGCTGTCCTAGAGTTATTAGCTGGTAGTCCTCTTAAGTCCCACATGATAATAGGAAGGTGGTAGTACTTGTGTACCTCACTAAATAATGTTTTGCTAGTCCTGACTGTTGCTGAACCATTACCATTGGCAGCAGCTGTAAGGGAACCAGGGTGGGAGTAATGAGACGAGAAGAAATAAAACAATATTAAAATAAACCAAAACGTTCCTGTTTCGTATTTAATTTAAAAAACTTCTTTTACCGTCTTAAGATAATATAAGTATAAGAAAGGCCATTCTTATAAAAATAATGAGCATTCTGATTATATTTATAAGTAACAGCCCATTAAAAGTGAGTATACCTAAAGTTAATCTTTTAGAATAGTTCAGATTCTCCGATTTCAATATTTATTTAATTCAAAATTAATTTTTATGAACCTTTTTACGAGTGATTAAACAAAATAAAATCTAATCTGTAAACTTGTAAAGAATTATTTCACAGAATACTAAGAGAGAATTTTTAAAAAAAGAAATAAATAGCCTATTATTTTGTAAATTCCTTTTACTTTTAACATATTACTTAAAATTCAATTACTATAGTTCCTTGAATTAACCAGAATCAGAGAAGTAGCATGAAATCTAACAAAAGAACACTGTTTAAAATGTAAGACAAAAGTATTTAATCAATAAATACATCTTTAAAAAACTGCATCATTCGGTAGTTTAGGGATTTGAGTAGCATTTAAAAAATTGTCAACACTTGTCAATCATGTGTATTAAAATTTATGGCATCTTACAGACTTCATGACAATACATCTAATAAGCTTAATGAACTTTATAAAGTCATCTGTACACTATCAGTTACTTAAGTCCAATGTGAGAAGATATTTTCAAAGATTAAAATCATAAATAAAAGCTTTTAAGAAATTCAATGTTTGAGAATCATCCATGCTGCTATCTACTGAATAGGAATGGTTACATTGATTAGATGTTAAGGCAATTATTGAAATATTTGCACAATCATCGTCTTTAGATTAATTATTGTATGAAATATGCTTTTAGAATCTCTGTTGCATTGTAAAATGTCTAACACAGACAATAATATTAAAAATATCAAACTTTATATCAAAAAGTATCTAAACTTTGGGTGGGCAACGTTTTTGTGCAGAGGGCAACATGAAAATTAATTATATTTTTGGTGGGCTTCTGGATAATTCTCTAGGAGCATAGAGTTCTACACAATACACTGTAATACATTGAACATATTTTTTAATATACCCATCCTGCCACAATTCATTTGCTGCCCACGGGTACTACTTATAAGCTAAGAGCTATTTTTTATTTTTATACCGTTTTTTTCTGTTGTTTTGTTCGCTGAGAAAGGCTTTCTGCCGACATGTTCGTTGTTTTGTTGCGTTCCTTTTTTCAGGTTTAACACTACTTTGTTTTACTCATTTTATATTAATATACCCTAGTATCTAAATTAATTATGGTGAAATGATAACTAAAATGTATTGTAAAATAAATAGTAACTAGTTAATTGTGGAGATAGTCATAGACTGTTATAGTATTAAGTTATATACTTTAAATATATTTGATGAGATCATTCTAGTAGTTAATAATTACCTACAATTTAGAATCAATGTACTTGCTGAAATGCATTGTAAAGAATTCAAATTTGTATCATTGAGCTGAGACCTTTACTAAGATTTATTGAAGTTCACACATATTTCAATCCCTCAGCAAAAGCTTAGACAAGCAAAAAGACCACCAGCACCCCTGGTGGATGGGACTCATCATTAGCTTTTGTTTCGGAACGCATTTAATTAAAGGAAAAATCTGAAATTAAACCCGGAACTGGAGTTCCAGAGGTGGTATGACATTGACTCAATGAAAATTCCAGAAACTTCTGCAACACTACTTGTTCCAAGTTGTTTCATCCACACATGATGTTACCTTGGGTTCACCTGATGGACGGAGACGGAGAGAGGTGAATTACTGTCTAGGGACCCAGCTTATCCTCCTAAAAAAATAGCCAAGGCCTGGTGAAGTCATCCTGCGATTTCTATAAAACCCTAAATAAAAAACCAAGTGGTCTCCCCAGTCAAAGTTAACTAATTTGAATGCACATAGAAATTTAAAAAATGAAGATAGCTAACCTGGGTTGAAGGTCAATGAAAAATAATCACAAGCGGGAACATTACATCCTGCAGGCAATTGGAAACCAAAAGGAGGTCCATAGAGTTTATCAGGATCTTTAGCAAAAATCTCTGTTACAAATATGTCACTGCTCACTACATTCTCTCCGATTTTGGGGCTGTAATCTTCAAGGAATGATGGAGCATTGTCATTAATGTCAGTGAGGGTGACTTTCAGTAATGCTGTACTCTGTAATGGAATGTCTCCTGAGGAAAAATAGACAATTATTAGCAGGTTACTTCTCTTACACTTACATTAAAGCAGTTAAAACTGTGAAAAAAATCAACATTATGCTACATTGTCCTAAATAAGAGTTGTCTTTTATTCAAACAGTTTGAGATTGACTTGTAAAGGTTGTTCTGGAGCCTTGCACGATGGTTCTAGCACCCTGGGAACCACTGAATATGATATAAATAGTATCTACTTTATTAAAAACTATTTTTATGACAATGACATGCTATTATCAGCAATATGTTACATTGAAGAAAATTATTCCCATTCATCCTTAAATAAATAAAAACAATAGTGATGTTCATCAGCCCCTCTCTACAAATTTGGATGAGACTCCTTAACATGGGGCAGTGTCTCATCTAGGAGAAGGAACATTCTCATTACAAACTTCCCCTGCCATCATGGGTGCCTGCAGAAAATTTTCTAGGGGGGAGGGGGATTTTTTAAGTAATGTTTTAATGTAGTTTTAATTTACTGTAGCGTATTTGTATGGTGAACGAACGGACAGGACATCAGCTTAGTTACTTTCTCTTTATTTTCTCTTTACTTTAATAAATTTTTTGTCTATTTTTGTCTAAAATTTTTGTATCCAATCAATCCGGGGGGTGGGGTAAGTACCCCTCTCCTGCGGGCGCCCATGCCTGCCATGTGGTAACACAGGTTACCTCTCTGAATGTATAAATCATACATTGATAATGGTATTGAAGTCCCTACCAATAAGAAAAGCAAGCTTATTAATATTTTAATTTCAGATCCTAAAGAAAAAAATATTTGTTTAATCCCCACCCTAATTTTTTTCAAATGAGAACAAATGTGGACAAATGTTTACAATCTTTTAGCTTGTATCCATCTCCTAGACACCCACTCCCATTTTTCCTATATATGGTGCTTCTTATTTTCATGCATTTCCTGATAGAAAATCTGAAGATGGAGTTCCCAAGGTACCTTAGAATAAATCCTTAATCCTTAACCTTAATCAATAAATTGGCATATGTCATAGCTTTGATTGAGCACCATTCAATGTTCACTTGCAATAAGTCCAGCAGATTATGCCACTCCAAATTTGGAAAAATATATCTATTATGAAGATGCAAAGAACACGTGCACAATTTTCATTTGAACAGGGGCAAAACCCACAGATAAATATTGTTGTGCATGTATCTTATCTAAATTATGTTTTGAGCTTTGACGTTTTTAAAGCAAAGTATTTGTATATACACTACCTTTATCTTTGGCCATTATCACAACCGCCATGTACTCTGCCACTTCCCTGTTTAGTTGTTTTCTTGTAGTTAATTTTCCTGAGTGGGGATCAATGTAGAACTCATTTCTTGGATCTGTTGCTTGAATTATTGAATACCGGTTATAAAACCAATTGATTTACTCCTGAGATTAATTTAAGTTTAAGACCACTTATGACTCTTTAATTTTATAAACTAACACATTTTGTTATGGATGAAGTCGAATTTGAATACTAAAATCATTAACATGTAGAATAATAACAAAGAGTAATTTGAATGTTGTAATTTTGGATTTATAGTCTTATAGCTCTTTAGTTTTCCAAACTATCAATTTAAAATGCATACATGTCAACCTGTGGTATAAAATCCTATACAAAAAATCCTAATTAAAAAATCAGAACAGAGACATAAAAAATGAAAAATCACAATAATTATTTATTATTTGTATTACTTTCTTCAGTTCACACTGTGTAAGGTCTAGAAATATTTGAGATCCCAAACAAGAGTTGTTTTTTTTTGACACTGTTAAATTTCCTTGATTGTTTCACCATCAAGTGTAAGTTTATTACTTAATAAATAATAGGTGTATCATTTCCTCAATGGGCTAATAAGATAGTCTGATAGATTTAAACTTTAAACAAATCCCCACAAAAACACCTCATTTCTATTGGAAGCTGACTCGTTGCTTTTCTTTTCTTATTCTGTTGTTTGTGATAAATAAATATTATTATAAGCTCATGGTAGGCTAATTTCGTCTTCCCTTAATTAATAAAAATCAGTGCAACTAAATCGAACATTACAAAAATTAAATAATGACTTTTCGTGATAAACAGGCCTACTATTTTTAAAACGTAGAGTAGGTCTTGTGCAAATGCACCATTTGCAGTATGGTTTATATGACACTGACCAGTGCAAGGCCACCTTCATTCAAGACTGTGCAATGTTTTTTTAAAAATCACAGAAAACTTATCCAACATTGTTCTACAAATAGGAAAAAAAAACAAAAAAAACTACAAAGTACAAATAAATGGTATCACGTTAATTCTTCTTTAAATTAGATACTACAAAATGGTTTAATAAAAAATATTTTAAAAAAAGTTCTACACACATAAATTGCTTATGCAAAAATATTTCAATAGAAATTTAAATATCATTTTTTTACTTTATAATATTTACTGTATTGTAACAGTTCCTTTAATCCTTAAAGCCAAAATATTTTGTTGAGAATGTCTTCAATTGTTAGGACTTTTACAAAAACAAACTTACTCAAACTCAGCATTCATTCCTTCATCAGCATCAGTAGCAGAAAACGTTGCAATCACCTGCCCAGGTGGCTGTTCTTCAATTAATGTAACACTAATTTGATTCTCGTTAAATATGGGTGGGTTATCATTGTAATCTGTGACAAACACTTGGATTTGGGTTGAGTTCTCATGACCGGGCTGACGGTCATCCACATGGAGGATGAATGTGAAATTATGTGGGTCTGTCTCAAAGTCCAGTGGCTAAATTTAGAACAAAATGTTTATAGATCACTTAAACTTTTAAATAAATATTCTTTTGATTTTAATAGAATCTAGGTGACTACCATTGTGGATTTAGGCAAAACAGATCAATGACTGTTAAGAATTTCCGCATCAGATGTCTATTAGAGAATGTTACGAATATAATATCCCAGTACATCAACTGTATGTGAACTAAACAATGGCCTAGGACAGCACCAACAGAAAATATCTGTATGAGACTCTGCAGGAGTTTGGCATACCCAACAAGCGGATAAGACTGATAAATATAACATTAAACAGCTCAAAAAGCAAATCAAAGTTCAGGGAGAATATTCAAGAAATCAAGTATGGGAGTTCATTGATAGTTGTTGCGACTGAATATTATGTTCATTACGAGCGGTGTTAGTTTGAGAGTTTTAATTAGTTAGGGAACACTCTTTCCGCCCTTGACTCTGTGACTATTTTTTATGCTGTTCGTGACGTATTGTCTAGACAGTATTAGTGACAGTATCGTGCAGCAGTCGTGAATGGAACTTTGTGGAAGTAGGATGTGTATTATTTATGTCTGATAGCGAGCTGTGGTACATTCATGTGTTTATGTGTATAGTTAATACTTAGATATTAAAGTTATAATTATTATTAAAAGATCTTGAGTTTATTCAGTGATAGTAAGAACAGTACAACATATTCAACGTGTGAAAGAACTTGACGAATAAATCAATCCAGTAGAACATAGGATTTGACATGATCAATTTCAAATTGTCTCTTTATATCTGACTCTATTTTTAGCTCATTAAGTTCAAATTGTCCCTGTTTATATGCCTCTATTTTCAGTTATCAAGTTCAAATTGTCTCTTTATATCTGACTCTATTTTTAGCTCATTAAGTTCAAATTGTCCCTGTTTATATGCCTCTATTTTCAGTTATCAAGTTCAAATTGTCTCTTTATATCTGACTCTATTTTTAGCTCATTAAGTTCAAATTGTCCCTGTTTATATGCCTCTATTTTCAGTTATCAAGTTCAAATTGTCTCTTTATATCTGACTCTATTTTTAGCTCATTAAGTTCAAATTGTCCCTGTTTATATGCCTCTATTTTCAGTTATCAAGTTCAAATTGTCTCTTTATATCTCCTTCTACTTTCAACTTATCAAGTTCAAATTGTCTCTTTTTATCTGACTCTATTTTTAGCTCATTAAGTTCAAATTGTCCCTGTTTATATGCCTCTATTTTCAGTTATCAAGTTCAAATTGTCCCTGTTTATCTGCCTCTATTTTGTATTGTCTCTGTTTTTCTGCCTTTACTTTCAACTTATCAATTTCAAATTTTGTATGAATCTATTTAACCTAACATTGGAGAGAGTTATGAGATGCATACATATTTACACTTGAGGAACAATAACAAGATACTTTTGGAGGGAAACCCAAAAACCAAAACCAATAGGCAGTCTACAACAATCCCCTTCAGTATCTTTGCAAATGCTGATGACACAGCACTGTTAGGGAAAAGTAGTTAAGACATGTCAAAATTGAATTAGTAGATGCATCACTACAATCAGAAGTGAAAGTTAATAAAAAAAAACAACAAACTACATGACTATGATAAGGGAAGAACAGACTAATGAAACCCTTAAAATTAGAAACCAAATTTTTAAAAAAGGTAAATCAATTCAAATACCAAGGATCTTTATTTAATGAAAGAAACGAATTAATAACAGAATTAAAGAAAGAATATCAACCAGAAACAGGGCACACTTTAGTAGTCAGAAAATGCTCAAAAGTAAAATATCACAAGAAAAACAAAGAAAACTATTTTAAAAACTGTAATCAGCCTAGTTGTAACATATGCAAGTGAAACTTAGACCCAAAATAATATGGCAGAAAATCTATTAAACACAGGTGAGAGAAAATTTATCATGAAAATATATGGACCAACAAAGGATGAATATGGATGGAAAATATGAAACAAACAGGAATTGTATCATCTACATCAGGATCCAACACTAGTGGCAGAAATAAAAAAGGATAGGATACTTAGAAAGAATGCCAATATGACAGAAGAGTGAAGAGGGTGCACCACCAAATCTCCAGATGAAAATGGCTCAAGGTAGACCTTGGCTTATATGGGTGGACGATGTGGAAAAAAATCTACAGCAGCTGGGAATCCAAGCTTGGAAAAGATAAAAAAGGTCTGAGAAGAAGGATGTGATAAGGCAGGCCAAAGCCCAACAC